AGACAACCTCTCGTCAATATGCGTTTTTCGCATTGCATTGCTGCAAAAAACGCATAAAAATACCTGCAATATTACCGTCCATCAAGTCGCTGTGACAAAAATACTTTCAAAAAAACACTTTTCCCTAGCAGTAGTAGCAACGACTCAAAAAGGGACATTAACAAAGACCAACCAAACATGGGTGACCGTCATTCGATTCTGTGTCAGTGTCCCGGTTTTGTCGGAGCATATAGTTGAGGTTGATCCGAGTGTCTCCACGCCTTCGAGCTTCTTCACCAAGCAATTCTTCTTCCTCATTTTGACAGCTGTTAATGTCAAGCAGACCTTAAAACATACTTTCAAAAATGTTTTTTTATGAAAGGCAAAAGAAAGTAGATGCTGGCGTAATTTGTTACCGTCATTGTAGCAACAATGCCTTCAGGAACATTGGCCACAATGATTCCAATGAGGAAGACAAGCGCTTGCAAAAATGAATAGCCATAAACCAATCCAACTGAAACATTGCTGTTAAAAAATGCATGCAAGCTTAGAATAATCTTTTTTTCTTGAACGGCTAGAATATGAGTATGCTGAATCGTGTGATCTCTGGAGCAACCGTAGCAATAGACGGAAGATGAACGCTCAATTAGTCCCCAAAATTTTTGGGCAAGCTCGAAGTAAGCCGAAACGATCGATTACGCATTTTGTCAAAAAAATCAACTTCAAAGTTCTTGTGTACCGATGAAGAAGGTGATGCCGATGATACCAGCAATAATACCGATGATGGTGATGAAATGATCGATTTCTCGAGCAATTGGAGTTTTCCCAGAATCTACGCGTGATGTTAAATATGCAATTCGACCCATTATCTGTATAAAGTACATACATATGCGTTAATGCACGTTTGTTGAAACTAACCGTACCAGCATGCTCCAGAATTAATTTAATTTATTCCACGACCGTTAAATCGACGAGGTCCCGTTGTAGTGCTGAGTTAAGATGTACCTAGCTTGCTGAATTGAATAGCGTTAAACTCGGCTAAATTTTTAATTTCTGCATACACTACAGTTTTCAGTTCTTAATATGTTCAGTTTAATTCAGTATCACTTATTGTTTATTTGTGGAATCGCACTTTCAAGTTTGAAAGAATATTTTAATGTTTTTTGCAACACTCATAATACTTTTGTCAAATTTTTCAGAAAAAACTAGAACGTGTTCACTGTCTACAAATCTTACCGTTTTGTCACCAGTCAGGACCACAATACCTTCGCATCTTCCTTCAACGGCATCGGTTCCGAAAAGCACCAAATTACTAGTCTCGAGCGGATTAACGTGTGTACATTCAGGATGACGCGTCTGCGGTTCACTTTCACCTGTTAACGATGAGCAGTCGACCTGAAAAAGCAAGTTCCAAGTTCTAACAAAATATATGAAGCAATTATTTGCAGGCCGAGTTATGGGTCTGTCGGGAAGTCGTGTTGGTGCACTAAAACCAATTTTTATCGACGAAGCTAAGTATCGGTAAAGTTCAGTAGCAGCCCGTTCCCTATTTTTGTCACTTTGCTTGAGTTTATTGTTTAAACCCAATCTTTTGTTTTTTGATTCAGCTCAGAAAGTTTCAGTCAATTTTTCCGTTTTTTTAATCAAATATTTCATCGCGTTATCTCTGCTTTGCCAGTCTTAGTTAAATTTTATCAAAAAATATGTGTTTGCCTTACTCAGATCATTTAGATTAATGCTTGCATTAGGTGCTTTTTAGAATAAATAATTACTGCAAGTCCAATGACAAAAAATGAGCAATAGCACCTTGAAACTGGAGCTACTGATTATGCGGACGTCGGCCGGAATACGGTCTCCTGCTTTGATGCGCACGATATCGCCAGGTACTATCAAAGATGCATCCATTTTGGTCAGCTTCCCGTCTCTCAGCACCTAATTCAGCATTGCTGTACTTGTGCATCGCGTATAGAAGTATGGACATTGCTGGCGTTATGCAAAATCTTCGATACATTACAGCGACGCGCTCCAGGATAGCCGGCGCAATCATGTATTTTGTGCAGCTTCGTCCAGCGAGTGTTTGTTGTTATAATTTTGCATTATTCTGCACTTTGGTGCGGGTAAAAACAGTCGATATGTCGTATGGTTCGTAAGCTGCGAAATCTCCTACTGAAACTTTCACGCAACGCTACGTAAAAAGTAAGCTCACAAGAATGCCAAATTTGAAACGTTTGGATCGCACATGAGTGAAGAACATACTTGCAGAATTTCAGCCCTCTAATTTCCTGGGTTCCGAGTTAATGAATTTCGCATTAAACATTTAAAGACCAGTACCTTGACCTAGGCATACAGGGAGGCTAAGTTTGAGCTCGTGAGGTCGTTCCATAGGCAGAAAACATTATCCCTAAACCTTAGCCTTTCAGCTTCTAGTTCTCGGGACTTCGCCAGAACTCCCACGATGACGTACTTGAAACTCAGACGTGCGTGAAGGTTGAATTTAAATATGAGGAATCACACACAGGCGCGGGACAACACCTAAAGTTCCAACGTCCTAGCTTTGTGGTTCCTAAGGTGATAGTTTTTTTGCCAAATTTTTCACGAGGTCGTACGTGGCATGGGTAAGGTAATAACTAAATATATGCGGTCACACTTGGGTAGGGATATTCCTCCAAATTTTCAGCTTCATAGCTTTTGTGATCCCCGAATTGAAAGTTAAGGACAAAATGCACTCGGACACACACACATACCTCATATACACAAAGACAAAACAGCCAAGCCCGTGACAATATGCGTTTTGTGCTGCTGAACGGCACAAAACGTATAAAAAGCTAAAAAGCAAGTAGATAGAATTTTACCATAGTGGAAGGTGGCGCCAATTTCGCGAAGCTTTCCATAATCTTCGAGCTTTTATGTTCCTGGTAGTATGCAAACATGCCGGTAATTACCACAACAACCACGAGGACTATGCCCATATAGAGCTAAAAGAATATTGCAGCTAACTTCATTAACAAATGCAGCCGAATACACTGTACCAAGCAAAAAGTGCTGCAGCCTTAAGAAACAGTGAGTTACCCTACTGATTCTGAATTTCTACCTTCCAGATCTTCCTCCCCTCCTTTCTTCCTCCCCCTTTCCCTCCCATCCCTCCCTCCTCTTCGTCCTCCAACTGATTCTTGGATTTGATTTTTCATTAGCTATATTTTTTAAAATGCAGGGCTCTAAGCTGTTACTTGAAATCCTGAATCTCTTGTCAAACTTTATCAGAAGTGAACAGAGAACGGACGTTGTCTAACGATGCATTTTTGTCGGTGCTGCGCTCCATTATGTAGCTTATGAGGGAAGCAGCCGAGCCAAGCCAAAGCAGAAAATTGAATCCACCAAACAAACATTTCAACACTGCGACAAGTTCCGATTTCTTTTTCGGTGGTGTCAACACGTTCAAGCCGTGTATTTGCAACAGTCGGTTCGCTTTTTCAGTTGTGTGACCCTAAAAAAATTTTCAGCTTTTGCAGCTGCAACTTTTCAAAGTACAGATTTTATGGTGCCGGAGGCAAAGCCGACCGAGCTGTCGGTATGAGTATTTCCACCCAGACAGCTCGGCCGACCTTGTTTGAGTAGCGGTATTCTTGGGAAGTTTCCACATGGCCGGCGCAACTACGCCAAGCTCTTCGGTCAGATAAATTATAACGAGCACTTCTAACTGGTGTCTGTGAATCAATCGCCTTTGAATCATTTAAAAATTTAATACTGCGCCAAATGCACCGACCTGAACAAAAAAATTCGTCACATGAAATAAGCTAATTACACATTTTTGCATGTATGCAAATGCAAAAAAGTATATCGTGACAACCCCGGTGTGTGCATGTGTATCTTTATGTGTGTAACTCGGGAACCAAGCAAGCTCATGCGCTAAAATTTTGCCAGTGGGTTCCCCGTCAAGTGCCGCCTGAGGACCGCGGTACCAAACTTTACGCACCTCTGGAATACGCGTACGAGCACGTGGAAGTTTTGACGGGAAAATCGCTAACTCGGGAACTAGGAAGTCGAGGAAAATGAAAAAATTTTAAGGGGATATTCCCAGCTCATTTACAACTTAAAGTTTTCATATACGGCCCCCAGATATGCATGGCTCTCATGCATGGCCCTGTAAATGTTTTTGGCAGGAAAATTGCTAATTCGGGGATCAGAAAAGCTGGAAGGCTGAAATCTTAACGGAATGTTCCCTGTCCAAGCACCGTGTGGTTGCGCAGTTAACTTTCTGAACTTCGAGGACCAATATGTAAAAAATTCCAGCTACTAGGATTCCAGGCGATCTTAGTACAGCAAGAAATACTGCGAAAAAGCATGATTACACAAGCTCACCTGGTGCGCATCGCCAATTATGCGTTATTATAGTGAATCTTAAATTTCCTCAAAAATCTTTTTCCGAAATCATAGTCTAAAGCTCATGCTGAACACACATTTTCAATTGCGTACTACCAATTAGCCGCAGAAGTTGGAACGCTAATGCTGTTCTGTGGGGAACCAAAAAATACCGAATGGAAATTCCGAAAGACCCATTCACCAAATGAATTGAGCGAACAGCTTGAAGTTAAGCATAAGTTCCATTATGCTGACCTCTGAACCAAATTTTAAGGTAATTTTAAGAATTCAGAATAGGACTGGAGGGTAATTCGAAATTTCAAAAATTTTGTTTGTTCGTATAAGACGGGAATGTTTAGCTCGGAATATCCTTTTGTACACTTTGATTTTGTTGGCTGTGATTACAATTGCAGACACCAAGTGAGAATAGGTCTTCTGGACAAAAAAAGCTGTGTTCGAAAAAAGCCATAAGACTGAAAAGGCAGTTCCTGAACAATTATTACTTCCTTATATGATTAGTTAAAAACTCTTAAATTCTCAAGTTCTAGGTTGCTCCTTTCTAAACTCTTGACATTGGCCTAATTTTGAGTGTGAAGGTCACAGTTCAGGTAACAATCAAGTTTGGATACTAATTTCAGGTTAATTGCTATTTGAACCGCATGGTAAGATAATCCTTCAGAATTTTCAGTACTGCAACTGTTTAGTGCTAGATTAGTCGATAAATAGCGAAAAGCTCCATTTCATGCATTTTTTTTTTTCATCTATGCAACGCAGAAAAACATATTGTCTACGGGTTGTATGTACGTGTGTCTTCTGTACCAATCTTCCATCTCAAGACCCAAGAAGCTGAAACTTCGGGAAGTTAATTTACCTACATATACTGGGCCCCTATCCTCAAAATGGACGCCATTGTCCACGTGGTTTTCATGCATGAGCCTGTGAAAGTTTTTGGCGGATAATTTGCTAACTCGAGAATCTGAAAAGCTAGAAAACTGAAATTTTAAGGGAACAATCGTAGTGGACATTTTAATTCTTCTAGCTAGAAGCATCTGCCGGGAAAAAACAGTGCTGTTAGGGGCAAAAACCTGCGGAGAACTGCGCAAAAAAAGTATTTTCGCACTGGTAATTAGTGCTCTGGCCAATTATTACTGTACTGAAATACCTGCCTACTGAGCATGCACCACGGCTCATTGTAAAATAAATGGCAACGCGCACCAGACTAGCCGGTGCGATCATGCGTTTTGTGCAATTCAGCCTATC